CCATACTTGGGGAATGCGAGTTGGCCATCGGGCGCATGTCCCTGGGGATGGGGGGGGGGAGGAGAAAAGGAGGGAAGGAGAGAAGGAGAAAGAAGGATTATAGGAAGAAAGGGAGGAATAAATGAATGAATGGATGAAGGAAGGATGGCAGGAAAGACAGGAGAGGGAGAGGGAATAAAGGAGGGATGAAGGGAAGGAAGGAAGGGAGATGGAGGACAGGATGGAAGGAGGAGGATATGGAGAGTGAAGCAAGGAAAGTGAGAGGAAGGAAGAAAGTAGGGTATGAGAGAGGGAGGTAAGGGAGGAACGAATGACAGAAAGGGGAAAGGAAAGTCGGAAGGAGAGAGGATAAGGGTATCATGACTATGGGAAAAGACATCTAATACTTCTCTCTCCGCCTGCCTGTCTGTTTGTATCATATACTGATTACACACACACACACACACACATGCACACACTCACACACACACATACATACACACACACACACACACATATATATATATTCGTCTATATATCTTCTTCAGCTTATTACTCATTCCGTAGTATCGGGTCGCTGTTTTTCGCCAGTCTTCTTCATTTTACCCCTCTTTATGCATCTGCTTCCATTAGGCTATTTACCTACATATCTTCCTTTTATCTTATCCTTGGTCTTCCTCGTTTTCTCTCCAGCATCATGCTCATTGCTCCCTCAACACATGTCCATATCATTGCAACCTTCTTCCCTATATCTTTTACGAGGTCTCTCCTTATCGTTTCATTCCTGATCTTATCGTTCAATGTAATCCCACACATCCACTTTAGCATGCGCATCTCTGTTACATTCATCCTCTTCACCTGCGCTTTCCTCTCTGGCCAGGTCTCTACTGCAGATATCAACAATTCTGTACACTTTAACTCATTTTCTGGTCGCACGGTAATCCGCTCACTTTCCTCCTAGAATTTCTGATTGTATACGATTATTTATTTCCGCATCAGGTTCTCTTCCTTTTGATACGTGATTTTACTCTCTTAATTTTCTCTTGATCTACTGTTACTTCTTCTCTTCCTCTTCCTTTCTGCTTGCTTAAATAACTTGCTTGTTTCACAGGGCCTTCATTTCGTAAACATCTCCAGGCTTCGATAGGGGTGCCATCCGAACCTGTTGCCTTGTTCGATTTCATACTTTTCAACACCCTAGTTACTTCTTATTCCTTTACAGTTCCTTTCATTCGCGACGCCTTCAGCAGTGTCTATTCCGGGATTTCCCTCGTCGTCGAAATCCTCTTTCCATCTATTTCTTATTGATTCATCATCGTACAAAATGTTTCCATTCTTATCTTCGACATGCCTAATGTGAGTGAAGTCTTCCGTAGTTCTTATCCCTTGCTTTTGATATTCTATAATGTTTTTTTCTGTCCTTTTGGTGTTTCCGATTCGCCATAAAATGTCTTACCTTGCCTCTTCCCTTGCTTTTGCGATTGCCTTCTTTGCTTCTTTGTTTGCTCTTTTCATTATTTCCTTATTTTCATCTGTTCTGTTTCGCTGGTACATCTTGCCCTTCTATTCACTTTTTTTCACAGAGTTAATCACTTTACCACCAGGTTTCTTTATCATTTGGTGGGACGTTACCAGATGTTTTCCTCAGTACGTATTTGGCTGTTCTCAGTATCAGATCAGAATTTGCATCCCACCAACCTTCGATATTTTCATGTAATACTATTCCCCGAAACACCCTATCTCTGAACTGCATTCTCTTCTCCTCTTTTAGCTTCTACCTCTTGATCATCGGCTTAGTTATCTTTCTCCCTTTCTTTGCCTGTTTTATCTTGAACTCTACTATAACCACGTGATGTCTACAAACACTTTTCCTCTTGATAACCTTGCAAATTTTCACTTCATTCAGTTTCCTCCTTCTATACAAAATAAAATCAATCTGTGTCTCTCTTCCGCCGCTTTTATACTCGTTGTAGTCTTTCTTGAAAAAGGTATTGGAAATTGCTAAGTCATATACCAAAGCAAAGTCAATTACTTTTTCTCCTTCACCGTCTCTGTGTCCACTGCCGAATCCCCCACGCACTCCCGCGATAAATTCATTATTTGTCCATATGTGACCGTTAAAATCCCCATCGATTATTGTTCCTTCATCTTCGGGTAATTCAGAGCAGGCAGTGTCAATAACTTGCCAGAACTTTTCCTTCTCAATTGTCCTCACATCCTACATGTGGAACATAGATAGATAGGATGTTAACGATTGTAGTTCCTATTATTATAAGTCTGGCTGACATGATTCTTTCATTTGTTCTTTGTAGCTTTATCACTTTGTCTTTCAGGTCTGGCCTCAAAACAACCTGATTGTCGTCTGATATCTGCACCAAGAGCGAGTAGCCCCCCCTCCCCCCCCACACTCCCCTCTCAGCTCTGTGGCTTTATTTCCTTTACTCCTAGTCTCCTGAATACACAACACGCCCATTTTTCTTCTGCCCATCAAATCTGCTACTTCTCTTCCTATTCCTGGCATGCTTACCACGTTGAGCGTTCCTACATTAACAGGTTTAGAGTATTCTGTCTGATGTTTCTCCTTATTGCTAAACCGGGGATTCTTCGCACTCTCTACCCAACCACACACACACACACACACACACGCACGCACGCACACACACACACACACACACACACACACACACACACACACACACACACACACATACACACACACACCAATATATATATATATATATATATATATATATATATATATGTGTGTGTGTGTGTGTGTGTGTGTGTGTGTGTGTGTGTGTGTGTGTGTATGTATATATATATATATATATATATATGTATATATATATATATATATATGTATGTACATATATATATATATACACACACACACACACATTCGTATATATGTATACATACACCCAGCCACAGACACACACACACACACACACTCATAAATATATTCAGTGCGACTGAAAAAGCTATGGAAAGATAAGAATCCCATTGAAAAAGATTTCACCCAAATCGGACCTGAGATCCAGAATCACTTGATGATGCAAATGAACGAGCTATGGGAACTGGAATTCTCGATTCCCTTTACATAATAACGATCAAAAGGGGGATGAAATAAAAGGTATTTAGCGGGTGAATGACTGATAACCTGGCAACGGTATCGACTTCCCATGACGAAGCCACATTTAGGTGGAATACATCAGGGCACAACTGCCTCTGGAGATCACATAAAGCCTTAGAAAAAATAAATCGTGTGATATCTGGATGAACAGCTGCTCACTTGCACATTGATCAATACCCACCGTGCTCAACAGGGTGGAAGCCTCGAAAAACACACTCATGTGCTGACGTCATCAAAGCGTGTTAGATGGCTACTCTTGCATTCAAGAAGCCTTTTACTCTTGAGAGGAGGCGAGGTTTTTAATTTGCAACGAACCTGAAAGTTGTGCAAGTGGCCGGACCCGGAAGTAAATACAGATTATAATTAACTGAAAAAGAACTATGACAAACCATATAATGATAATGTATGCTATATCAGTACAAAACTTGAGTGTATCGTGTCACAGTACAGAATGTTTAGGATGTTTAGGGTAGCTAGATTAATCTAATTTCAGCCAGAGTAAGCCATTTGCAAGTGAATAGGGGTAACCGGGCATTACGTAAATGAACTGAAAATTTCAGCCACTTGGTGTAAGGTTTAGATATTGACTTTGGCATGTACACTCTTACCATATTATCCTACAGTTTAACATTAATATTTTATTCCTGAATTGTTAGCCTTAGAATTTCAAAGAATGGGAAAATGATTGCTGTGACGGCTACCATTTTTTTTTTTTTTTTTTTTTTTACTACGTTTTGACGTACGTATTTCCCGTCTGTTGCCACCGCCACTTTTTACCATTATTAAAATGCATTTTCAGTATTGCATTTTCGTTACGTTTGCTTGACTCACATATTCACTGACTAAATATTACTGAATCTCATAATTCTTTTATAATTATGTCTACATCTCTTAGACATGTTTTCAATAAATATTCTGATTCTGGAGCTTTCGCCTCTCGTCTCATTTCATTAGTTTTATGAATATGCCACTAACGAAAACAAAAATATCAGTGACATATATCATTCGCTTTAGTTTCGGTTAGTTTACCTAAATATCGTCCATTAGTTGCGAGGTATGTTTATGTAAAGAATGAGGCTCTGAGCATTTCCTATGAGAACTGAACGAAAATCAAAACTGCGGGAAGGATGTATGGGCTCGGATAAGTTTCGAACTTATGAAGCAACTCCGCTGGACCGTTTGTTTCGTTTCGCTGGTCTTAAAGTTAATCAATGATAAGTTTGACTCTTGAAAGAGGCATGGATACGAATTCCCACATAACCAATTTATATTTTGCTCGCTCTTAACAGTCACCTAACGCATCCTTTGGAGTGCGAAGGAAGCGTCAGGTATTTGTGTCATTATCAGCTGATTTATCAATTTGGATTTTCACCGTTAAAATGCGAAATACCCAATGGTTTATCTTAATAATTCGTTGATATTAATGATTCAGCTGTTATTGATTTTACGATACGGAATGTTTTTCACCCAACAAGAATGGATGTTTTGAATTTAATTATGAATTACGTGTAATTCAGCGTATGGCCTACAGAAGAATGGCGGGGGTCTTTTCCCCAAACTTTATTAATTTCGGTATTAATAATGCGAGTTCTGCTGCTAGTTCGTGATGGCCATCAGCCCTGTGATTGGCGGAAAGTTTGCGAGCGTCGTTATCACTTGTTCACGCGCCGGGTGATATCAGGCCTGTTTACTCTCACTGACATTCGCGTGCAAATTTCGTGTAAGCGAAGATAAATGTGTATAAAATTTCATCGAAGAAAGTTTATACTTGCGTTATTTCGTAGGTCCCACAGGGCTCTTATAAACATGAAGTGTAGAGAACATATGGCCTAGAGAATTTCCAGTACAAAACAAGTACTCCACCTCAGAATGCCTAAAAAAAAACACGATCATCGCGAGGCCATTCCAGCTCCATAAGATCTGTTTGCAAGAACTCCATAACCCGAGCCCCTTTCACTGAAACCCTCACCGAAACGCGCGACGAAAAGAACACCCAAGCATTAGCAAGTGAATGCGTCCCCCAACCCGGCCCCTAGACGTGTTAAGAGCGAACTACTTCTCTTATGCAAATGAAGTCCTCCAAACACGCGGGCCGCCTGACCATTGTTTCATCTCCTGGAATTACCTCCTAAGCCGACGTTTGGTATTGAAAGAGGGGAAGCACCTCCGCCCTATCCACTTATATCAGAGCTCACAATGGCCTAGATCCTCGCGGTAATGGGAGGAGATTAATGCAGAGACACAGCTAGGAGTCACTGAAAGGCGAATCACCGAACTCCTCCTGTAGATACTAGAGTCACTACGACGCCAGTCTCCCAGCTCGGGGCTACTGTTTGATTGTGCAGGAGGAAGTACAATGCAGAGTGCGACTCACAGTGCATTGTGTTCCCGCGATTACACGACTGCATTTGACTTCCCTCCCTCTCCCAGGACTAATTACTCGTCCTGTTGAAATATGATAGATTATGCAAGGTTTACACGAGTCAACTCCCCATAAGAGATGAATGACCAAGTAATGGTTTGTCTAGGGACCCCCTCCCGCCGAAATAGGGAAGGGGAGAGGAAAAGAGAAGTAGAATATTTAGAAGTTTGTTTACAACATCCAAAGCTGGGTACACGCGTTATACAAGACAACCCTTGCCTCCGCTCTTCACATAGTTTCCAAACAGTCTACGAGAACAATTTAGCTTGGCAACTGCGAGCCATCTAAAAAAAAGGGGGAAAAAGAAAAAGAATTCTCTTTAGTTGAGTGTGTCGTCAAATACGCCCAGATATTCACCTGTGTTCACAACTGTGCGTGGTGGAGGAGGCGCATTAAAGAAAGAGAGGGAGAGAGAGAGACAGAGAGAGAGAGAGAGAGAGAGAGAGAGAGAGAGAGAGAGAGAGAGAGAGAGAGAGAGAGAGAGAGAGAGAGAGAGAGAGAGAGAGAGAGAGAGGGAGAGAGAGAGAGAGAGAGAAAAGAAAGGCAAAGCGAAGAAGAAATATTATGCAAATGCTAATAACATGTATTCTTTCGTCTCAAAAATATTTCAACTTCCGGGTGAAAAACAACGTACATTAAAAAGTACTTAATTTCTTGCACTGTTCAGATCAAATATTTGAACACGAGAATAAAGGGGGAATAGGCCGGAGGCCCCAGAAAGAGGGAGATGGGAAGAGGGAGAGGAGAATAAAAGAAAACGCAGAATAGAAAGAGCGGGCATGAAATAAGGATGAGAAAGCCATGGAGAAATGAAAAGGGTGTGGCAGAAAGGGAGGATACAGGAAGACAGAATTAAGGGAGAAGCGTAAGGGATGAGTAAATAAACGAGAGAGATGCGAGTAAAGGAAGGAAGGAAGGAAACAGCTCAAGGAAGTCGTGAGATTAAACAGAGAGGAAGGGGGGGGGGGAGGGGTTGGGGGAACATGAAAGGAGGCTGTTACTACGGGAAAGAGAAGATGAAAAGCAAACATATAAATGACATTAAAATGAGAATAGGGGCGATATATGTATACATACATACATATATATATATACATATATATATATATATACATATATATATATATATATATATATATATATATATATATATATATATATATATGTATATATATATATATATATATATATATATATATGTATATGTATATATATATATATATATATATATATATATATATATATATATATATATATATACATATATATATATAGCGATGGGAAGGTATAAATATATGGGAATAAAAAATAGACACTTACAGACAGGTAGGTAGAAAACTAAACATTATATATATATGTATATGTATGTATGTATATATATATATATATATATATATATATATATATATATATATATATATATATATATATATATATATATATATATATCTGTGAGTGTGTGTGTGTGTGCATATATATAATATATATATATATATATATATATATATATATATATATATATATATATATATATATATATATATATATATATATATATGTATATATGTGTGTGTGTGTGTGTATGCATACATATATATGCATATCACGCACACCCACATGCATATATATATATATATATATATATATATATATATATATATATATATATATATATATATATATATATATATATATATATATTATAAATAAATAAATAAATAAATATATATATATATATATCCATACACACACATACACATATATGTATTTTTGGGTGTATGAATACACAAATACACATATATATGTATATCACACACAGATACGAATATATATGTATATATACATATATATGTATATATATATGTATATATATATACATATATATACATATTTGCATATACATATATAAATACATGTATATATATATATATATATATATATATATATATATATATATATATATATA